GGACGGGCCCAGTTAATTATTTTTCGTGAATAAGAATGTGTGCAAACTTGTGTGTAATTGAAGGACACAAAGGAGACACTTGTTGCATCTTATAAAATGGGCCCAATAAAGGATACAAAACAAAGGCTGCCTTCAAAAGACCCTTCCAATTGTGCAACAGTCACGTTCCGAAAGTAAAAACTTCTCCATGGAGAAATAGGTTTTTAACTTTCAAAGACAGCCTTACCATGAGCTACAAGGTTGTTAATCGATGTTGTTTGCGTCTGTTGACCGTCAGTCCACATTATTTATACTTCTTAAAATATTTTGATTGTTTAACAGCTGACTATGTGGTGAAAAACTACATTACCCATGATGCTGTACATCAAACAGGGCAAAAGATGTTCTCTTTAGCTCCGCCCACTCCCGTGGAGTGACTGTGACAGTGTCTGTCTCTCTACGCTCTCAAAATAATTAAATGTTTGTATATAAGTGCATATTTTACAATAAAATATAAGTTGTCTATAATCAACATTTGTAAATGAGTGGTTTTAGATATCTCCATTATTTTTTAATTGATTATGCTGTTTGCAATGCATCATGGTATTGTAGTTCTTTTCCTCACTAAAGCCGTCACACAGTATTATACCTTTGTATTTTTGTCCGATTTTCAAATATTGTTTTGCTTCAAATCTAATTTTGTAGTGTTGTGATTCACCTCTGTTACGAACTGCTCTGACAGTAATCCACAAATGGATCGTATTTGGATCAAACCACTGGATATGTAATCCAATGAACAACACAAGACACAAGCACACAGAGAAAGCCAGGATTTTGCTTTCAACAAAAAATTTGCAATAGATTTGTAGAAGGTGTTCCCTATCGAGAACGGACACTTCTTCTTGCATAGCTATACGTAGTGGGGAAACTTTCCTCAGATTTATTGAAGCTTATATGTAAAACGTATTGCAACTGCACAGCAAGCACAGTGAGTGCCTCAATCATTGGAAATCATTGGCAACTCCACATCCAATGGGGAAGGTGCCTCTTGGACATGGCTGCACCTATAAAAGGAGCCAGAATTCACCATTATAGAAGATTTTCTCTACTTCAGAAACGCTTCACGTCTCTGTTTACTCCTGAAACATTGAAGTTATCGCCGTAGATACGCCTGCCAGAATGAGCCTTCACACTGTGGACTGCACTTTCAATCATCTGGGAAGATGCTTTCTCCTGTCGCCATTCTCTAGAACAGTGTTTCCCAACCCTGTTCCTGGCGGCACACCAACACTGCGCGTATTCTTTGTCTCCCTAATCAAACACACCTGATTCAACTCATCAGCTCATTAACCCATCTGATTATGAGCTGATGAGTTGAATCAGGTGTGTTTGATAAGGGAGACAAAGGCCGTTTCTCAAAACCAAGAATGCAAAGAATGGACTTGAGTTCTTGGGAAGAAAGCTCTTGCTAGTTGTTCTTGGAAGAACCAACTCACAAGGTGACGAGCACACAGAACACTGCTGACAGTTTGAGACGATGTGTTCTTGCTGGTATTGCGCAATAGTACCCCCGCACAGACGCCGTCTGCAGTGCCCAAACATAACGAGAATTATTATACAGCCAGGCTTTATCGCCCAAGCCTAAGGGATTACTCTACACACACTACAATGTAATGTATATTCATAACAATAAAGCAACACCTGTCTCATTTTAATTCTGCTTCTGTTGTTTGTTTGTGTACATCACTAGCCAACGGCAGGAAAAAACGCCGGTAATATTCAGGTAACTTTTGACCTGCCTCTCTCTGCTTCCCGCTCCTTCCGCGAATGCCGAAATGAATTATGGGATATTTCTGCCGTCAAGTTCACACAAGTTACCAACCGATGCATCCTCGGTAAAATGGGAGTGTCAAGAACACATCCGGGATTTTTAACCGTTCTTGCCTAAATGCAAACTTGTGTATTGGGACAATACTTAGGCCACGACTGATGACGTTTTACAAGTCCACAAGAACACAAGTACAGACAAGAAGGCATACTGAGAAACGGCCAAAGAATACGAACAGTGTTGGTGTGCTGCCAGGAACAGGGTTGGGAAACACTGCTCTAGAGGCCATCCGGCAATCGATTATATATCCTTTTTGATCTGTACTGTTACGTGATACAGTCTGAAAGAGCTGCGAGCGTTGTTTCAAATGCCTTGCTCAACATGCTCCACGTGCAGATCCCATGCACAAAGAGCAAACTCATCCCCATGAATAGGATCTCTTTTCTCGGTATGGAGTTGGATTCGGTCGCAGAGCAGCATGCTCAGTCGGTGCTGAACTGCTTGAACACATTCAAAGGCTGGACGGCGGCCCCACTGAATTTTTTTCAGAGGCTTCTGGGGCATATGGCAGCAGTAGCGGTAACCCCGCTCGGCTTGCTTCATATGAGACCGCTTCAGCATTGGCTTCACGGCCGAGTCCCGAGATGGGCGTGGCATCACGGCACTCCACGGTTTTGCTCCCTGACCGAGGAAACACTCGGCACGGACGCACTGGTACACAGCTTGCCCCGGGGCCTTCGCAAATACGTCTTCCCCAGTGAGCCTACTTGCACAGACACTACTGTGCAACTCTATTGTTTCAGAGTAAAAAACCTGTAGAGTCCTCCAAAACCCCTTAGCCCGGACATGGCGGAGCATCCGGCACCAGGCCCTTGTCTGCTGAATCCTTGAGAACCGGATCTGGGCTGGGTTCCATATGTGTGACCCTACGGGAATCCCATACGTGTATATATTCCCTGGCTTCTCCTAAGACGGAAGCCCGTGTCTTTCCCTTGGGTTAAGTCACCCATTATATCATATGAAGTACAGCCTTCGGGTTAGTCCATATGTATTTCCACGTAACTCTTTGAAGGAAGTGGCTTCCGCAGCATTCCCCTTCCTCAGAAAGGGCACACTCCCTGTGTAACCCTTCACACTTCACGTCTCTGTTTACTCCTGAAACAGTCGGTGCTGAACTGCTTGAACACATTCAAAGACTGGACGGCGGCCCCACTGAATTTTTTTCAGAGGCTCCTGGGGCATATGGCAGCAGTAGCGGTAACCCCGCTCGGCTTGCTTCATATGAGACCGCTTCAGCATTGGCTTCACGGCCGAGTCCCGAGATGGGCGTGGCATCATGCCACTCCACGGTTTTGCTCCCTGACCGAGGAAACACAGAGGAAGCCCGTGTCTTTCCCTTGGGTAAAGTCACCCATTATATCATATGCAGTACAGCCTTCGGGTTAGTCCATATGTATTTCCACGTAACTCTTTGAAGGAAGTGGCTTCCACAGCATTCCCCTCCCTCAGAACACTCCCTGTATAACCCTCCTCATATCGTCCTTCCAGGCAAGAAGGTGCAGCTTGCATGGGGCGCTGGATGGGGTGCATCGGCTGTGGCACTTTGGTAGGGATTCCTATTGGTCAGTCATGACCTACGTTGTAGTGACTGACCGATAGGGAACGTCTCGGTTACATATGGTAACCCTCGTTCCCTGAGGGAGGGAACGGAGATGTAGGTCCCTTCGCCACATCTGCTGCCACCCGCCGGGGGGGGGGCATTTTTTTCAGGCTTGGCTCCTCAGCAGCAGCTTGTTTTAGTTTCACTTGAAGTAGATTGGCCTCTCTAGTGAGATTCCTATTGGTCAGTCATGACCTACGTCTCCGTTCCCTCCCTCAGGGAACGAGAGTTAAGATATGTAACTGAGACATTTCTGTGAGCCCAGGGGTCCTGGGCTTCAGTTGCAGCCAGTTACTTATGGTACAGTGTTTTACATTGCGACCCCACTTGTGTATAGCTAGGCAATACAAAGTGACCGTTCTCGAGAGGGAACGTACTCGGTTACTAACGTAAACTCGGTTCCCTGAGAGTAGAGAATGAGTATTGCATAGCCTTCCGCACTATAGTAACATGGCAAGTTTGTCGCTTCAGCCGATTTAAACCTGCAATAATGGCAAATTTGGGCTTCTTTTTATAGGCACTGCCACGGCGAATTCACCGGTCTCTGATGTGTTGACAGCACGCTGATAGGCCATCGTCTTCGCCATTGTGTTTGATGTGCAGTTGCAATGGGTTTTGCATATAAGCTTCAATAAACCTGAGGAAAGGAGTTTCTCCACTGTGTATAGCGATGCAATTACTCATTCCCTACTCTCAGGGAACCAAGGTTACGTTAGTAACGGAGTACGTTTTTATGCATGTTTGGCCTAAGATTTGTGGGTGTCCGTTGGGTGCCAGATTGTTTTGAAGTCTCGACATAATACGGCACGTTTGCTTCAACTGTTTCAGTGTTCCACGAAGCCTTGATCTACCCACCCTTAGAAACAAAGCAGAAAATCAAAACCATAACACATGTAAACCAGGTAGAGCACACTCAGAAATGCAGTGTAAAACACACGGCTTATATAGGAAGAGCTTAACAGGATAATGATACACAGCTGGAAGTTGTCCAACAATAAGGAGTCCAGGCAATGGGTTATAAGAATTGAAGTTCATGATGGGATAGCAAGGGAGTCTGGTGGAAATCATGGCCACTCCAGATGGTGGATGCAACAACCTCGTAGCTGGTTGAATTGGTTTATTTGCTTATAACGCTTTAACAAAGACTTTTTTTAGATGGTCTTTTGAAGAATCTCAATTGGAGGGATTTTCTTAGCAAATTTAAATACATCTGATTGATTGATTTATTGATTGATTGATCAGTGTGCCGTTAATGAATCGTTTTTGACCCACTGACTGTGGTTGTTGCAAACATTCATTAGGCAGCCCATAATCACAGGTTCAGTTCCACGATGGCTGACTTCAGCATAACTGCCATTAAGAGCTCAGGCTGGCATGTGTGAACATGTGATCATAAAGCAGTGATTCACTACAGAACCACGACATGCATTTGCTTCTGAGAGCTTTCACTCTGTTAATTGTGATGGGCTTGTGTGTAATTTTGAAAGGATGCCGATGCTCCATTTATAGTTTTGACCTTTCATTGTTTTGCAGCAAGGGATGAACAAGGACACGTTTAAAAATGCCGTCACTGCTACGGCGTACCAGGGGGTACAAGCACATGAACGGAAACTGAGCGATGTGCAGGTGAGCTTTATTTTATTTCATTGCTTTGATACGGACACCTTTTTATACTCTTTCTTTAATTTGATTTTACATTTTCGGTTTTGCAGTCGAGGTCTCCTGGAGAGTACAGAGAGTAGCTGGATTTGGGAAAAATTTCCAGCCAAAGTGTATTGCAAGGCTAAATGGATATAGATTTAAAGGGAAAGACGCCACGGCATGTCTCTCCAAACCCAAATGATATTCTTCCATGGAACTAGAGGGCTGTCAAGTGCCAAAAAAGCAGAAAGATCCATAAAATGATCAAAAACGTGTCCGTATGACTCGTGCGCTGCATTCCAGGTGCTTTGTGTGAGGAACAGACTGTAAGTTAAAGGGATAGTTCACCCAAAAATGAAAATCTTTTACTCAACCTTATGATGTTTCAAACATATTTGACTTACTTTATTGTGTTGAAAACAAAATATATTTTGAAGAATATTTGAAACCTAATAGTTTTGTTTACCATTGGTTTTCATTGTATTTTTATGTCCATAAAATGGAAGTCAATAGGAACCAAAACCACAGAAAAAAGAAAGTGGTGAGTAAATGAATGAGCTATCCAACGCTATCTCATGAACATTTCTTACAAGCGAGTAAATTCTTATGAATTCGAACGACCTCACTCACTGGTAGGACAGGTAGGTTTAGGGGCGGGGTCAGGGGGTCATTCATACGATTTCATTTTAAACTCGTAAAATGTGTACGATTCAGCAAAAATAGGACGAGTTCATACAAGTGAGGTCATATGAATTCCTACTTATTAGTCACCTAGTAAAATTGATACAAATTGCCGTTAGATCGGGTTGAGCTATCCCTTTAAATGAAGCTGTTCACTATTGTTTTTTTTTTATTTATTAATTTATTTTTTTTTGAACTTGACATCCCCAAATTGTGTAAATTTGATCCCCAAATTTAATCTCCCATTCCATTAGAAAACTGAGTGGATGATGTTTCATCTTGTCGCTCTCTGCTAGTACAGGCCTGTTTAGTGCCTGTACACAGATGTGCACTTTTACCATGGGAAACAGTTCTTACACTTAGGCTTGACAAACTTGCACTACTGGTCCTGCAGATTAATGAGTCCGCTTTTCTTCTGATGCTGCTTTCCTTCTCCTCCTCTATTGTAAATATGTATAAATGCTGGGCATATTGGGAAAGGAAGCAGTATTTTAATGCAATATTTTACAGCATAATACAGTACACAATGGTTAAATCTTTTACATTTTTGTGCATTGATGCCTGATTCGGATTTTATTTTATTTTTTACTTAGAATTGTAGGATATAAACTCAAGTTATTTCAATATCAATTCTGAGTAAAAAAAGTTTATATAAAAGTTTATATCACAATTCTGATTTTAGAACTCTTTATATTTTTAGAGATTTTAGAGACTTTAAATCACACAATTATGAGAAAAAAATTAAGAACTATGAGATTAAGTCGCAATTACCGTTTTATTTCATGGCAGAAACGAGCTTCCATAGTATGAAAACAATGTAAAAGCATTTAAACAAACAAACAAAAAAAAACACTTTCAATTCCCAACGGAACATGACCATCCGTCAACGTTGAAATGTGGTTGAAATGAAGTCAGATGTTGTTTTAATAAAAATAATAATAATAAAAAAAAACTGTTTTACAATTACACTGTGTCCTAACCTAAGGAAGCTTGTTTCCGCCACAGAATAAAACATTTTAAAAGATAATTTCGACATTTCTGAGAAATAAGTCAGAATTACGAGATATAAACTCACAATTGCGAGATATAATGTCTGATTCTAAGGAAAGTTTTTCACAATTCTGACTCTATAACACGCAATTGTAAGTTTATATCATGCGTTTCTGACTTTATATCTCCCAATTGCATGTTAACGTTTATATCTCGCAAATCTCACTTTAGAACTTTATATAACGCAATTCTATAAAAAAAAGAAATCATGAGGTTTTTTTTTTCTTGAAACAAGCTTCCATACTAACCAGACGCGATTCAGCAACAGATAAAATGTATTTTCCATGTTAATCAGAGTTTTTTTCCTTATAAGCCGATGCGCGATATTTCTATTTTAGTTTTTATTTCTGCGTCGTCGCGGCTGGAACAACAAACATACAAAGTATGACAGTGATAATCCCAGGTACTCATTATGAACTTTACATACTATGTATGTAATTTTAATTATGTTAAAATGGTGTAATGTTTATGAATTTGATTATATACTTGTCCATTGCGTTGCGAATGCAGTGCGCTTGCAGAGAGACTTAGCCCACATGCTCTTCTGATTGGCTGTGATTTTTGATTGATTGTGTGTGGACGGATAATAAACGGTGTAATAAACTTTCGACATTAAAATTTTAACAAGATCTGTACAAAAGACAACATTACGCTATCAACACTGATTTGATTTGCAAAAACGAAATGCAATTCAAGAGCGAATCAACCTTGATCCATGAGGTTGAATCATCCGTAAATAAACGTTGAAACGCTGGCTAGGTTGGAATTGAACAAACTTCTGGTTCCACAGACTAAAACCCCAGAATCAACTTAAACTTTGAAGATGCCATGACAATCACACATTTAATTTCTGTTGTTTCTGTTTAACATGGTTAATCACAATTAATTCATATGAAAATACATATGTTAAGCACAGTTTAGTGGTATATTGTAAATGCTGCTTTGGATGTGTAAAGATGTCTTTGGACTTTAGGGTATTTTAGGAGAGGCAATCCTAGATGCATTCAATTTGATTGTGATTGAATGGGAATTGGTTGCTCTATTTTGAAATCTGAAATGATATTGTAGTTTATCAACTGGCTGCTGAGAGCAGTAAAACATGTAAGATGCATCTTGTTTTCCAGATATATTTTGATGCCATACCTTTTTAAAGCCAAACTCGCTTGTTGTTGTTGTTGTTTGCTATTTGTTGGCTTAATGTGTGTGATATTGTATTTTGTGAATATTATTTTTATTTGAATTTAGTTTGGCTGGATTGTGTTTTCCTCTGCTTATGGAAAAATGTTTAGATAATTTTATCATGTTGTCAAAAGAATGCAAGCAGAAAGTGGACTGAGGATATTTTTGTAATAAAATATTAAATATGGCTGTATAAATTTGACATTTGGTATCTGCATGACCAAAACTGTACATTTTAATCTTGCATAAAATCTGTATTTCTGAATAAAAGTACAATCCAAAAAGAAACATTTTATGTTTAGGTATGTTTCCTTTTTATTTTTTACCGTGTACAGTATGTTACACATAAATTTGCTGAAATAATGACATTTATAGTTTGGTAATAAATTGTCAAGTATTTACACTACAAGCAAATCCGGTCGCCGCTGGAAAAACCAGCAATGCAAGTTTGAGAGAAGCGCCCCCGACAAATCTTGCGATGATCATGACATTCCTTACGGCAACGACGTCACACATATAAACCACAACATGAACCACGAAGACGCTTGCACGCATTTCAGACGTGATACTTGTCGAAGGAAAAAGCAAAGAAAATGCGGACGGAAGAGACTAGGAAAAGGAAAAGAGACTGTAATTGCAGATTTCGAACAGAGATGGCGATAAAGCCGCACTACATCTTTAATGGTGCGTTCACACCGGACGCGAATAGCGCGTCAGCCGCGAGTGATTTCAATGTTAAGTCAATGCAAAGACGCGTTACGCGTGTGAATAACTCCTGCGGCTCGAATGAGGTGTAGAGCGCGGCGCGGTAGACTCGAATACGCCTCATTTGCGTTTGAAGTTCGCGCGAATGGATTTAGTGTTATTTTTGCATTCACGCATTTGACGCGAATTTGCTCCTGCCGCCCGAGTTGAAAAATCTGAATTTTGGCGCCAATTCGCGCTGTGTTAACCAATCAGGAGCCTAGCTGCTTGCTCACGTGGTGAAGTATCTGGATGCTTCAATAAATTATTTTGTAATATGACTAAATGCCTGGTGTGGTTCTAAAACACAACAAAGCAAATATTTGATCAGTTAAAACTTTATTTCAATATACGAGACATGTTCATTTTGTATTAAATGTTATTTATTCCATATCTAGATTATATGAAATATTATTATAATGTAACGACAACCAACAACATACATGTGCACAAGTTTGTGGACGTGAGAGAGAAAAATCACAGGACAGGTTAATAACTTTTGGAGGCTGGCTCTGTTTATCATCAAAGCAAAAATAAATGACAGATTTGGTGGATGAGGGCAAGCGTGAACCTCGCTCGCTCCGATGCGGGACAACAGGTCATCAAACTGGGGGCGGGACATGCGGAAGTAACGCTGACAGCGGCCGCCATCCAGCGCAGCTCCTGGAGCGAGCAAATGGTGAAACTCGCCAAACGGTTCGCCTCAGAAGGGTCTGGTGGACACAAATATACAGCGACGATGATCCCCACGCCGCTGTTCTGCTCTCCAGAGCAAATACAAAGCGGTGACTCTCTCGATGAATGCTCGATCAACAGGAAAAAGATGGCCGCCAATGGGTTTTTGATTCTTGTGCACGTGAATTTGATTCATCCGAGTGTGTATGACACTGATAGCAGCGGATATGAGCCCTCGGCTTGAGTTCAAAAACACATTTTAGTGCTAGATCTCTTATTTAATGTTAAAAATGCACACTATGCAAGATTTGTACCTTAAAGGGGGGTTGACTGCGATTTCACTTTTTTGATTTTAAATAGTGTGTAATGTTGCTGTTGGTGTATGAACAGTAGGGTTGGGTATCGAGTATCGATTGGAACCGAGACTAACTTTTCGTTTTTCCCGGAATCGTTCAAAAGTTAAAATTTCGATTCCTAGTTTCGATATTCACAGTCCGCCGAGCGGAAGAAGAAACCGCTGAACAACACCAACGAAGAAGCGTCTACCGGAAGTGTTGGCATAACCACGCGAGTCGAACATGAGTAGCTTACGTCGGCGATCCAAAGTGTGGCTTCACTTCTCTAAAAATAACGAAATCTTGGCAAAATGCAAAATTTGTGACAAAAGGAGTATTTTTACAGGAGTATTTCCTTCAGAAAGGCCGTTGGTTAGCAAGGTTAGCTAAACTTTTTTTGACCCTGCCTCTTAAAAGAATCGGAATCGAGAATCGTTAGGAACCGGAATCGAAACAAGGAATCGGAATCGGAATCAGAATCGTTCAAATTCAAACGATACCCAACTCTAATGAACAGTGTCTGTAAAGTTGCAGCGCTGAAAGTTCAGTGTAAGCAGAGATATCGTCTTTTAAAAATCAGGAAGTATATTGCCTACAAAAACGACTCGATTGGGACTACAGCTGGGTTTTAGACGTCACTAACCCATAGATTTCAACCCTCCCTCCGGAATATGCAGAAAAGGGCATGCGCATATTTAAGCGGCTCGTCGAGTGTGTGGTCTTCTGTGTTCGAGTTTCCCACGCACGGACGCTGTTCTTTGTCAACAGTGGATACACTTTATGTTCGTCAGCTGTCAGGTCTTCTGTGTTTGGCTTCCCACGGACACTGTACTTCGTCAACAATGGATACAATTTATGCGCATTTACGGAAGACAGCTTCCAGAATCTCCACGAATTCAACACCGGATTCATAAAGAAACTGTTACTAAAACATGAAGCAGTTCCGACTTTAAAACAAGAGGCAGCAATTGTTGGGCCACAACCTGTAAGTAGGCTGAGACTTAATCATTTTAAATCTATTTGCATATTTAATTCCAGACGTAGCCTTGTGTTTTATTTTTTATTTTATTTTTTTTCAAATGCCAGCGCTGGCTTTATAGGCTACTAGTTATACTATTTTGTGTCTACGACAAACGTGTGCAAACATTATGGACCTGAATTTTGTATAGACCATTTCACAAGATGTAAACAACACTGGTCCAGAAGCACTTCCTGTTTCAGTTTGTAACTGTTTTCTTTATTTCACATGTAAAGAAAACATCTTAAAGATGTTTGTTTAACTTTTTGATTCAGTTTTAAATGTTTTGTTGGTTGTATTTTATCCCAGCTTTTATGTAGTGTTAAAAAACTGAAACAGGAAGTGCTTCTGGACCAGTGTTGTTTACATCTTGTGAAATGGTCTATAAGTACTATTGTTTTAAACGTATTTTTCATGTATATATGCTTTATGACGTTATTTTCTACTTGATCAAGAGCGTAAACTAATGCCACGCTGTTTGAGTATAACATTAGTAGCCAGTCAGTTGCTATTGTTCCAATCAGATGCTATTGTGTAAAACAAATGTGTATAAAGTAAAAAAAACATTAGCAAATTATCATTCAGAAACGTTTTGTAAGAGCCGTGTGTGGTGAGGTTCTGCTTGACTCTCTTCATCGCCGCTTTCTCGGTCTGATTCTGCCTTAAACTGATACTGCAGTTCGACACGTATTTACATCTGGACCAGAGCTCATGACATGTACGTTTCGCCCATAAAGGTAATGGGCATTAACCTTCCGGACAACGTGAGCGACAGTTTAGCCAATCACAACACACCGGGCCAAACTAACCAATTTAAAAAAAGAAAAACCACGAATATATGGTATATTGCACCCCATAAACACAATCATGCAAAGAAAAAAAGCAGTCAACCCCCCCCTTTAATATAACAGCTTCAAATGGGTATCAGGCTGTGAG